GGAAAAAACTCTAGAAATAATTTTCTAGACAATTCCTAAATTATTCCAGGTTTTATTTTCAGAGGAAAAGATTATATGATGTGGAAACTCTCTTTCTGAACTATTATAAAGATTTTATTAATTCTCACTTTCAGAATTCTCTGCAAATGAATGAAATCTCTTTAGACTAGTTTATTAGGTTCTTCCTTCTCTGGGGAGACAGAGCAGTTGTTGCTTTATCATATATCCTTTATACACTTTGAATAAAATCCTGGGGCAGGGAAGGTAGCTTAGTGGTAGAGTGTTTGCCTAGCATGCTTGAGGCCCTGGATTCTATCTTCAGCCTTTCCAAAAGACAAAAAAAGGTAAGAATAAAATCCTAAAGTCTCCAGGCACAGTGGCACATGCTCAGGAGGCTGAGGCAGGATCATAAGTTCAAAGCCAGCCCCAACAAAAGCAAGGCCCTAAGCAACTCAGTGAGACCCTGTCTCTAAATAAAATTCAAAACAGGGCTAGAGATCTGGCTCAGTGGTTGAGTGCCCGAGTTCAATCCCCAATACCCATCACCCCCTCCCCGCCCCCCCCCAAAAAAAACAATCCTGAAGTCTTTCCATAGCCTTTCATCTTTCCTTATGGTTTCTATTCCTTTTTCCCTGTGGTTTCTTCTGAAATTATAGATTTTTCTGTGTTTTGTTTGAATAACACTTTATAAACCCTGTAGAATGATGGAAATGCAAGAATTTTTTTTATTATGAAGGTAGTAGACCCTTGAAATATGCTCTTACAAAAATGGTCCTGTGCTTACTTTTATGGTTCTTAGGCAATCAGTGTTGTTACTAAAAATTTTAAGGCTCTGTTTAATACTCCTAGGTCCATATTTCATCACTTTTCTAATTCTTACAACCATTTTCTTTAAATTAGCTCTGATGAACATACACCAGTAGAGGATGAAGAGCCAAAGAAAAGCACTACTTCAGCATCTAGTTCAGAAGGTATTTTTTAAATATAGAACTTTTTAATTGATTTTATTTTTATTTTTTTAATATTTATTTTTTATTTGTACACAATACATTTATTTTGTTTATTTACTTTTATGTGGTGCTGAAGATCGAACCCAGGGCCTCACACATGCTAGGCGAGTGCTCTACCACTGAGCCACAACCCCAGTCCCTTTAATTGATTTTAAAAAGTAAGTTTAGGGGGGCTGGGGTTGTGGCTCATTGGTAGAACACTTGCCTAGCACGTGTGAGGCACTGGGTTCCATTCTCAGCACCACATATAAATAAATGAATAAAATAAAGGTCCATCAACACTAAAAAATATTTTTTAAAAGTAAGTTTATAAGTAGTTGAACATTGGACTTTGCTTTTATTCAGATTGCCAATCATCTATTCCTTTTCCATATTTCAAAAACAATAAAATTGACATTTAGAAATACTTCTTTAGAAATTAGTTTTTTTTAAATCTGTGTTTCCTACAGATGAAAAAAAGAAAAAGAAGAAGTCTAGTCATTCAAAAGAAAAGTCTAAGAAAAAGAGAAAGAAAAAATCATCTAAAAGAAAACACAAGAAATATTCTGAAGATAGTGACAGTGACTCTGATTCTGAAACAGACTCCAGTGGTAAGCAAACCAACATCATTCTGCAAGCCTTTCTTCAAAACTAGTTTTTTTTTTTCTTAAAATTTATTTAGAAGGATGTTGTTAAATAATAATAGCCAAAAGTTTCTGAATGCTCCTTGATTTTATGCAGGCAGCCTGTTGTGTGCTTTTATATTCATTATTGCTATTTAGTCCACACAATAGCATCTTATAGATGAGGAAATGGAGGAACAGAGCAGGTAATAAGTACCACACCTAAGGTCACATTTGGGATTCAAATGTAAACTAACTGACTCCAAATTGATTGTGCATAGTTGTACATAGCACAGGGAACCCAAACCAACTTGGGGTTAGGCTGCAAGATGTGTGGTGCCAAAGGAAACCATACAGGGAGAGCTCTTTTTGTGTAATTAGCATGCCCAGTGGGCTCCACCTCTGTATAATTTTTTTAAAAGGCATGCTATAAAGTACTCCTTTCAGGTTGGCTGCAAGGTACCCCATCTGGGGTGGTACTTCACAATAAGCCACCGAAAAGATGGCTTTTAAAAAAGTTTACTGTTTATCCGATTTATTTTATTTTTTTGGTGGTGCTGGGGATCAAACTCAGGGCCTTGCAAATATTAGGCAAGCACTCCATCAACTAAGCTACTTCCCCACCCGAATTTATTTTTAAATGTGTTCCATTTTGAGCTGGTTTTGTGGCTCAGTGGTTAGAGTGCTTGCCTGGCACATGTGAGGCACTGGGTTTGATCCTCAGCACCACATGAAAATTAATAAATAAAGGTATTGTGTTCATCTACAAATAAAAATATTTTTAAAAATGTGTTAAAATTCAACAGTGTGATATTATCTTATTTTTCTAATTATATTCTTACCTTTTTGTTTTCCTAATTTTCTGTAAATTTGTATAAAAGCCACATTTTTATACCCTTTCCTGGCTGATATATGACCAGAAGTTGCCTCTTTTGGGGTTGACACATATATATAAGTGTCTCTTCCTATCCAGGTTTCCTGGTCCCCATTGTCATTTTTCTTCCTTACTGCTGGAAGACTGAATTCTCTTAAAGTGCAAATATAGGGCTGGGGTAGAGCTCAGTGGTAGAACCCTTGCCTAATATGTGCAAGGCCTTGGGTTCTATCCCCAGCATCACAAAAAAAAAAAAAACCAACAAAAGCATAATCTGAGGATGCCGATCCCCTACCTAAAATCTTTCAGTAGCTTTCCCTAGCCTTCAGAGTAAATTTCAGACCCTGATTGATCAGAATCCCATGTTCTTTCTCTTGACCGTGTCACTTGGTACAGAGGGACTCTTTGTACAGTCTGTCCCTTCCTCCAGCTTCACTCACTCACAGCAACCATGGGCATAGAGTACTTTTGTAATAAACTGATATTTTTTTAAACTAGCTTAAGAGTCACCTTTTCCTAGCCAACTATTCTTCAAACACCCTCCCCAAATCAGTCTGATTTCAAGATTCCTCTGTCACTCTGGATTATATTTATCTCTATACCCATCTCTCTTCTCTATCACACTGAGCCACTAGAAAATATTCTCCTCTGTACTGCAGTACCATATTTTCACCTTTTTCTATCATGAAAATCTTTATAAACATTCAGAAAAGTAAGGAGAATAGCATGACTGATAGTATAATTAATACCATATTCTTATCCAAATTTAACAATTGTTAGTATTTTTGACATAATTGCTTCAAATATGTTTTTGTGTTGGTGCATTATAATTATACAGAATAGTAGGACTCATTATGCCATATTTGTACATGTGCATAACACAATCACATATGGGTCTTTTATTGAGATAGTCAAAGTAAGTTACAAATATACTTTGATGTAAATATTTCTATATGCATTTTTAAAAAGTAAGGACATCTTTCTACTTAAACACAAAACTGTTATCTCATTCAATGAAATTAATAATACTCTATATCACCTTATACCTAGTATGACTTTAATTTTATGTTCCCAGTGCCTAGTACAGTTTCTGGCAAGTTGCAATAAATACTAATATGAATTAATTTCTCTGTAACATCAAATGGTATAGCAATAGGACTTCATCTACTCAAAAGTATTAGGGTTTTAGAATTTAAAATTGTTTCTAATTATAATGTGTTTTAATTTACAGATGAAGTTACAAAGAGGAGAGCAAAGAAAAATAAGAAAAAGGAAAAGAAGAAGAAACACAGATCGTCAGTTTTTTTCTATAATGTTTTAGTGGAAAAGCTAAAATGTGTATAAAATTATATAAAACAGTATGATTCCCCTGTATACTCATCACCCAGTTTGAATTATTTTCAACTCATGGGCAGTCTCCACTATCACCTATTGTCTTGGAACTAATCCCAAATATCATTCCATCCATAAATAATTCACCTTTCTCTAAAAGATAGGCATTCTTACACACACACACACACACACACACACACACAATGTTGTTATCATGCCCAAAATATTTAACAATAATTACTCAATTCTCAGTAGTTTTTTCTACAGTGTATTCAAAGCAGAATCCAAATAATGTCTATAAATTGCAATGATTATATTTGTATTGTGTACTTCAGCATGCTCTTCTGACCTCTGTATTTCCCATACAATAATATAGAGACTTGACAAGCTTAATTTGGGCAGCTTCATAGGTGGTGCTGTCTACTTCCATTAGGAGACAAAATAATGTCTGGTTGTCTCTTTTTGCTATATGAGCAGCCATTGGTTGTTATTGTCTAATCCTTTACTTCATTAGGGTTTGCAAAATGATGATAGCCTAATTCTGACTTTCCTTCTTCATTAATTAGGTAGAATAATTCTATAAAAGAAGCTTGCACTCATCAATTACCTAAATATCCTGAAGTATAGTTTGTACAGCAATTATCATCACTTGTTTTTTAAAATAATGAATTGGATTTTTTTAGTATTATGAGCTCAAAAATGTAAACACATTTAATACATTTTAATTCATTACAAAGATATTATTAGTGCTCAAATTGGTAAGAGCTGTTCTTAAGCTGTTTTATTTCTGTTGTCTTTCTACAATATAAGAACTATATTTCATTGTTCCCTTTAATCTCTTTTTAAATAGTGAAACATGATTTGGGTAAATATTAGAAAATTTTTAACTTAAACTTCTCTAACAAGTTTGAATTAGCTTGGAAGTCATTTTCATTACTGACTTAAAAAATTAAAATGTCTTTTAACATGGGAATATTAAGTGAATTTGTATCAAATTATAATCCCTACAGGAAGAAATATAAGAAAAAGAAGTCTAAGAAGAACAGAAAAGAGTCTAGTGATTCAAGTTCTAAGGATTCTCAAGAAGAATTTCTAGAGAATCCCTGGAAGGATCGATCAAGTAAGTTCTTCTGATAGACTTTAACTCAAACAGATGAAACATTAAAGTAACCATTTGGTCAAAATGTGAATGTGTTTCTGAATATCTTTCATGCAGAGGCTGAAGAACCCTCTGATTTAATTGGCCCAGAGGCTCCAAAAACACTTGCTTCTCAAGATGACAAACCTTTGAAGTAAGTTGCAGTGTATTTATAATATCTAATGTACCTTTCAAAAAGTATGGCCGTAACTTACCTTGCCAAGCTTATCCCCCTCTACTCCCCAGGTTCCATCTGACCTGGACTACTAAAAGTTCCCTTTGTTTACAGTACATGTTTCCACTTTTGTGCCTTATTCAGCTTGTTTCTCCCCCCAACTTGCCTTTGCTTCTTCTTCCTGCCCTGTTTTCTTCCCTATCCCCAATTTCTTCCTGTTAAAATCTTTATCCTTCAAAGCCCTTTTCAAAAAGAGGAAGCATATGCTGATTCTCAATACTTCCCCTCCACAAGTAGTTGTAATTTCTACCCCACTTTAATCCTTACAGCATATTCCATTCTTTTGTGGAAGACATTTTTTACCATGTATTATAATTATATCCTTATTAATATGTAAACTCCAAAAGAACAAAGATTATTTTTGTATTTCAAGCTTTGGGTTTAATAGGTATGCAAGAAACATTCACTGAATTAAATGAAGGGATAATAGCTTTTAAAGTCTCTTTGAATCAAAGGTAATAGATACTTGTTTTTAGTTATAAGTCTAAAAATATTAATTTTAGAGATATTATTTCTCCATTTAGGTTTTTTTTTTTGTAAGGGAAAAAGAGAAAGGGAATGAGCTAGAGGAAGAAGCAGAAATTGCAGTACCTGTAGAGATAAATAAACCTACAATTATAAACCCTGAATTTACACTCACTAATGTCAGTTCTTTTGTTTAAAATATTTATGCATTTCTGAGTTAATAATGTAGGTCATAGTGCATTGTTCATTAATTAAAGGAATTCACATTGGGCTTCCCAGCACACTACTGCTCAGCACTGTTATTCTTGTTGTTTGAAAAAAATGTTTTGTGCTCTCTTTAGACGATTAGTTTTATTATATTGAGATGGTTTTTAATGGACCTTTTCTGATTCTGAATTACTTTGTAGCTATGGCCATGCTCTCTTACCTGGTGAAGGTGCAGCTATGGCCGAATATGTAAAAGCTGGAAAACGTATCCCACGAAGAGGTGAAATTGGCTTGACAAGTGAAGAAATTGCATCATTTGAATGCTCAGGTTATGTAATGAGTGGTAGCAGGTATGTTCTTGGCATTGAATTCAGTTTCCATGATTAGCTCTTTTCCTTTTCCTTCTACAAGAATAATATTTTGGTGATTGGAAATTGGAGTATAAATATTGGTTTGATATTGGCTTTTTGGTATAAACATACTTAGCTAACATTCCAAGTTTATATAAAACTTAGTCTCAAACTCAACTATAACCCTAACTTTGAAGAATCACTATTTCCTGTGTCCTTTCCTAGTTCATTTTTTTGATACAGATATTTTATCCACTGGAAGATATAGTGAAGTTTAACTATCTATCATAGTTCCACAAGGAATGTGGCAATTTAGTAGTAAGAAAAACATTTGCACAAGAAATGTTTCTTGGTTTTTGAGCTTGCTTCCAGCTGTCAATGTACCCAGTTTTATGGTAATGAATAGCAGAGAAGGATTTTGAAAGATGTCAAGTTCAGTATGCTGAAAGGAATACAAAATTAGGGAGAAGAAAGCACAGTAACCAGGGAGAACAAGGAGAGTAAGGTAATAGGGCAGTAGTACTGAAATCAAATTGAAATTTGGATTCTTTAAAACTTACTTCTTTAAAAAGTAGATAACTAGGGCTAGGGTTGTGGCTCAGAGGTAGAGCACTCGCCTAGCATGCGTGAGACACTGGGTTCAATCCTTAGCACCACATAAAAATAAAGATATGTGTCCACCTATAACTAAAAAGTTAAAAAAGTAGATAACTATTTTGAAATGACACTGGAAGCAAATATTTGCAGAACCCCTAAAGCACACCTTCAGAATCTTGAGAATTCTGAGGACCAACATGTGAAACATCATTTCAGAGACCTAGCACAGTAAGACAAGGAAAAGAAACCAGAGGCATAAGGATGGGAAAGAATGATATACCACAGTCATTTTTTGTGAAGTATATGTTTACATAAAAAATTCCAAAGAATCTTTAGTTGAATTATAAGTAATAGAAGGGTGTAACAAATTGTTGTATATAAGGTTACTACACACAAGTAAATTGCATTTCTATATACCATCAAAAAGCAACTACAGGGCTGGGGATGTGGCTCAAGCGGTAGCACACTCGCCTGGCATGCGTGTGGCCCAGGTTCGATCCTCAGCACCACATACCAACAAAGATGTTGTGTCCACCGAAAACTAAAATAAATATTTAAAAAAAAATTTAAAAAAACAGCAACTACAGAATGTAATAAAATAAAAAAAGGAAACATCTTTTATAATAGTGTCAGAGATTACAAAGGACTGGGGAATGAATCTAACAAAAGATGCCCCAAACCTCTACAGGGAAAACATTTTATTAAGAGACATTAAATAAGACCTAAATGGTGGAGAGCTGCCATGTTCATGGGTAGGAAGGCAATATTTTAAAGTTGTCGTTTCTTACCAAATTGATCTATAGATTTGATAAAATTCCAATCAAACAGTTTTTCATGAAACTTATCAAACTGGTTCTCAAATATATTTATTAGATGAAAAGGCCAAGAAGAGCCAAGTCATTTCTGAAGAAGAGTAGGGAAGGTTAGATTTTCTCTACCAGAGATGAGAACTTAGGAAACTACAGCACTTTAGAAAGTATAGGAGAACAACCAAATTGCTCAATGGAATAAAATACAGAGCCCAAGGACAACCATATGTGTATGGGACTTTGGTATATGAAAGATATGGCATGTCAGATCAGTGGAAAAGAGGGAACTATTTAGTAAATGGAAAAAGAAAAAAATGGTTATCCATATGGAAAAAGATGAAAGTAAGACCCTAAATCATCATATATGAAAGGCAGGGCCACTAGATTAAGGACTCAAAGAGCAGATATCTTTTAGACCTTGGGATGAAGAAGTATTTTCTAAAGAAAATAAAAAGTCTACTGACCATAATATATATTGATAAATTTGCCTAGGTTAAAAATAAGAATTTGTGTTCATGAAAAGATGCATTAAAATAAGTAAAAAGACAAGTTTCAAACTGGAATATGATCTTAGAATACACACAACTCATAGTTGAGAAAATTTAAAGAATACCTGTAAATAACAAAAGAAAAATAGGAAAATGACACAAACAGGCATTTGTCAAAATAAATAATACATATGCCCAATATTCACTTAAAAAGATATTCTTATTATTGGAAATAGAAATCAAGAACTTAATGAAATACCATTTTACACCCATCTGATAGACAAAAGTTGAAAGTTCTAACAATACTTATCATTTTAACAAATGTGGACCTATAGGCTCTCTTAAATACTGCTAGTAGAGCTGGATGCAGTAAGGCATGCCTGTAATCCCAGCAGCTCAGGAGGCTGAGGTAGGAGGATCATGAGTTCAAAGCCAGCCTCAGCAGCTTAGCGAGGCCCTGTCTCAACATAAAAAAATTTTAAAAGGTAGGGGATGTAGCTCAGTGGTTAAGTGCCCCCGAGTTCCATCCCTGGAACCAAAAAAAAAAAAATGGTATTAAGAAAAGATTGATGAGGATATTCTGTGAGAAGAATTACTGAGAAATTAAGCCAAAAATAAAATTATCTCCAGGCATCGCCGAATGGAGGCTGTGCGACTGCGGAAAGAGAACCAGATCTATAGTGCTGACGAGAAGAGAGCCCTTGCATCCTTTAACCAAGAAGAAAGACGAAAGAGAGAGAACAAGATTCTGGCCAGTTTTCGAGAGATGGTATACAGAAAGACCAAAGGAAAGGATGACAAATGAGGATTTTCCGATTGCTCAGCAGATATTTTTAATAACAAAAAAGAAAGCCTGGGTTCCATACATATACACAAAAAGATTATTATGCTCTGAAAAAGCTTTACAGTGCTACTGTGCCTTCTATTTAACTCTTTCAATCTCTCAATAAAAAGCTGCTTATTGATATATCTTTGAGTTCTTTGGATTATTTTGGATTGACTTACAACTTTCTGGTTTAAAAATCCAAAATATGAGTGAAATCCTACTGTATTAAGGGAGGTGGCATAGAGAGAAAGAATCAGTGAGATGAGAAACCTTAATCACATGCCATGGTTCGGTGCTACTATTGGCTCTACATGATGCTCTCCCCCATCCCATTGAACTTGTGGGAAATGATCATTCCTCTGTGTTGAATGTGTTATAAATGGACTTGATATATAGAAGCTATATAGGAGGCTATTTTTGTTAACAAAATGAAGGCTTTGCTGAAAAAAGCAAATCTGGAATTTGAAAACTGACTTGTATAATACAATATACAGTCTGCCCAGGAATTAATTAATTTTGGTTTAAGTCCCTACCTCCATTCTAAAACTAACAAACCAACATGCATACTAGCCTATGCATTTGTTTAAATAAAAATGTGAACATTAGGTGGAATTCCTAATAAATTACTTAAAAATAGTTATTTTAGGGGCTGGGGGTGTAGCTCAGTGGTAGAGCAGCAGGTGCTTGGCATGTGTAAGGCCCTGAATTTGATCTTCAGTACTGCAAGAAACAAAAAGTTCTCTCAAATATAAAGTCTTGGGAAATTTATTGCTATGCCAATATAAATTAGTATTTCTAAGTTGTACTTTAATGATAAGATAACATCTAAAAAGAGTGAGAGTCAACTACGGTCAAGAGTACTGATTGGAAAAATATAGTATTTTAACTTAGTTGTTTCAAACAGATGTAGATAAAATGATATTAAACTTTTTTAACCCTATCCTTTATGTAATAGGTAGATTTCATTTTAAGCATGGTTAAAGCTTTCAGTTTATGTTTTTATATCATTCATTTTAATTCTTAACTTTGTATAAAAGGCCCTTATTTCATCACATTTTTGAAAGTAAAAATTGTGATCATAATATTTTTCCTTCCCTTATTTTGTTCAATTTTAGTTAGGTCACAAGTGTAAAAGGGAAGGGGCAATGTAAATTTTGACTTGTTATGGTTGGAAACTGTTTGATCTGTGTTGTTATTATGTACATAGGATGAATTTAGGTTACTGGATGATGGGTAAATTCAGACTGTGCTATTTTTAAATGCCCTCTCTCCTTATAATAGTTTAAAGTGGTTTTTCTTTAAGGAATTTATAAGTAAAGCAGTCATATTTCATAGTATAGAGCACAGGTTTTTCTGTATGTTCTAAGAAAATGTCTACTTTTAACCCGCAACTACTGAACTAAACAGCTGTCAGCATGTAACAACATTCATGACCCCTGAACTTGAAGGGATGTGTATTTATCCATTTTGCTAAGCCTAATAAATCTGTAGTTTCCTAAAGTTAAAAGGAAACTAGAGCTAAGCACAGTGGCACATGACTGTAATCCTAACAACTCTGGAGGCTGAAGCAGAAGGATCACACGTTCTAGGTCAGCCTCAGCACTTTAGCAAGACCCTGTCTCAAAATAAAAAATAAAATAAATAAAGAGGGCTGGGGATGTAGCTCGGTAGGAAAGCAACCCTGTGTCCAGTCCCCAGTATTGCAAAAGAAAAACGGAACTAAGTTCCCAAACTTGTCTTAATCCATTTACTTCCTTATATAATAAAACCTAAAGTTTATAATTCCCACTTAAAAGTTTTATTCTCTAAGGATGTTATTTTTTAAAAAATATTTTTTACTTATAGATGGACACAATATCTTTATTTATTTTTTATGTGGTGCTGAGGATCAAACCCAGTGCCTCACACATGCTAGGCAAGTACTCTACCACTCAGCTACAACCCCAGCCCCAGGACATTATTTTTAGTTGGCATGGTAGTTTTAACTGCAGCAATTTTGTGATATCCGAATATTGTGAATTTTTATTTGATTCTCTTGTGTCCTCCAGAGAGTAGATGCTCAACAACTGTTTGTTGAGTAAATGAAAGAAAAGGTATTTATTTCAGAACCTTACCATTCCTTTCATCGGGGTTTGTATAGGAAAGATCTGCCAAAGAATTGTTTCGGTAGCATATTCTTTGGGGAAGTAAAGGGAAGAATAAAAGGGCTAAAAGTATTGCATTTTCAGCTTATTACAATTAATGCTTCAAACTATGCTTAGTCACTTGAGCCATGAGTCAATAGTAAGGCTATTGTATTTTAAATGTGTATTATATATATATATATTTTTTTTTTGTTCTCCAAGAAAACTTATCTAGTTTCCCACCTCATGTCTATTGCTCTGATAAGATTATCCCTCCTTTTTAATTTATTGTACAAATATAATAGTAAAAAAATAAGGAAGAAAAATTACAGTTCCTTCACATCAATTATCATTTGTATTTTGTGTTTCTTTCCAGTGTTTGTCTTTGTAAATATGTATTCTAAAGTACTTGTAAGTAGTCACTCAGAGTATAATGTAATTTTGTCTTTGGTGTTTTAAAATTTGGCAACCCAACAAGGGAGTCTCACAGGAAAATTAGAAACAAGTGATAATCTGGTGTGAGGATAGGAAGACAAAAAATAAGTGAGGGTAGTAACTGAACCCATCCCTGTGTCATTATCCTCCCACCCCCATCCTCAAGCCACCCAGCTGCTAATGTAAGTAAAGTGGTAAGTTGAGGAAGGCATCATGCCAGGTTGCAGAATTTCAAAATGTATTATTTAGCAGTAAGATTTAACTCACTATAAATGAATGGGCCTATGAGGAAGGGGAACCCTTCAAACTGATTATACTATAAACTGTAAAACTATTGCCTTTTTTTTTTGATTCCCACTTGTGTCCATAAAAGGTGTGTCTGGGCTGGAGACTTAAGTGCAGAGGGGAAACAAGAAGCCAAGTACTAATCTTAGTTTGGTCTGAGAGGTGAATTTTAGCACCTCTCTAAATTCAGCTCTGTGCTTGCAAGGATCTAAAGGATGCATAGAGGGATAATAAAATCTTTTAGAAACATACTAGTTAATCTGATAATGTGATGGAAGTTGAATGGAAAAATGAATGCAAAAAATTACAGCTGGATTGTATGCCGCAAGTTTATTATTCAATAAATATTCTGTGGTTCGATGTGCTGTATTGTATTTTTAATATATTTGGATTAGAAAAACAATCCTAAAACATTCTGTAAGATTCAGACAATTGAATTTAGAAGGTGATTGACTCCATTAAAAGATTTTTGGCCTCAATAATGTCCCTCGGCCATTTTTCTCGAAAGCGAGCCATTCCTGGTCTACAGAGGAAGAAAAACAAACACCAAAAGCTTTTAAAATAAAAAAAAAAAATTGAACCAGGGATTTACTGTTATATTCCTAGTGAGCAATAAGCCTTTTTTTTTTTTTTTTTTTTTTTTTTGCCAGGGAGAGAGTAAGTAGAGAGGGTGGCAGGGTTCTCTCTATTCGTTACTGTTTTTTGGGCCCAATCAACAAAAGGATTAATGAGCTTACATGTAAAGATCTTTAAGAGAGCTATATACAGATAAAGGGATTATTTAATACATGATATAATTTCATGTAATTTTGAAGTTTCTTATAGAAACAATAGACATGACCGGCTTTTTTACCCACCCTATTCCAGCAAATAATCCTCAAGTTTCTAATTATTATTATTATTTTTTGGTGGTGCTGGAGATTGAACCCAGGGCTTTGTGAATTCTAGGCAAGCACTCTACCAAATGAGCTATATCCCCAGCCCCTCAAGTTTCTAATTATTGCAAAACCAGCCACTAAGGAAAAGATGTTCTAGACCAATGGCAGAATTCTAGTTTTAGTTCATTCTAATAGGGTAGGTCCAAAGAAGATAAATGACTATTACGTGAATTATCTGGCTGTGGGTCTTCTGGATTCCTGGAGTATAATGACTTTTTCCCCACCCTTTCAAAATATGTCTCCAAATGTTCATTACCTTAGAACTAATGAATGGCCCTCAAAGATATAAGAGACATCAATGGGTGTATCCTAAGAGAAAGAAGGACAACTGTCAGCATAGACTGAACATACCAACTCTTAATTCCCTCCCTACTCTTCTCTAGATATATACTCTTGAATTTCCAGAATTTGTCCTACTTATAAGGTGGGAACCTCTAAGTGGTAGTTCTTTGTCACTTTAAATCTATCTGAAAAAAAGATCTTTTTGGCAAAAATATCTTAAGAATTGCCACAAAATTGGAGACAGGTTGTCAGAGGATTGTGCTCTTTATTAATAGGAGCCTGAGGAGTTAATTTACTTTCTTTACATGCTTCAGTTTACTCAGCTGACAATCTCTACCTCTGAAGAATGACATCAGATGGAAATAATATAAATGAACAAGATTTGAAAACATAATGAAATATAAGTCATAATGTCTCATGTTCCCCTCCCACTCTGACCTCCAAAATGATGCCTGGAATATTGAGCAAGAGCCTTCTTCCCAAGACTATCTATATATTGTCTCCAGTATGGTCTGGATCATTTCCACCAGCCTTACTTCAAAATCTCTTGACTTTCAGAGCAAGACAACTGATGGAGGGATATATGACCAGAATTGAACTCTCCATCTATTGTGCCTCTTTAGATTACTCCAGCTGAAGATACATGTGTTCTGGAATAGAATGAGTAGGGGACATAGTTGGCTCACTGACGATATCATTCATATATAAAGCCTTAAAGTCAGATCAGAGCTCAGGCAACTTTTGAGAAAGGATGGGAAGACAAAGGGAAAATAACACTTTTCATGTCTGTTATGTTCCAGGCATTATGCTTGGTACCAGCCCTGCTCCTCTGAGGACCTTTCTCCTGGAATCATGGGTATTATTTTGGCTCCTTTCACACCAACTCTCAAGTCAACATGCTATTTGTGGTCTACTTAGTGGCTACAAGCAGTCATTCCTTCAAGATTTTTTTTTTTTTTTTTTTTGGCCAGGTCTTGTTTTTCAGCAAGACAAATGGCCTGCCCTTATAGAACTTACATTCTGGTGGAACAGACAAGAACAAAAAAAATTGATGATATAGAATATTTGAAGGTAATAAAATGTAA